CAGTGTTGGTGTAAGACTGGACTCTCTCTTCTAAGCATCATTCGTACTCTACCTTATGAGTTACAGCTTAAACCGTCGACTACTACTTAGCATGCTTTTCCAGCAGATGCTTTTTTGCCTGAGGGTATAAATCAAAATTAATTTTTGAAATGTGTAACTGAATGCTAACCAGTATTTTTGCTTGATTTTTGTTGCCCTAGAATGAAATCTGTGTAGAGCTCCGAGTAATTAAGCTTCAGCTTTTCACTGGCAACATTTTTTAGCATTTGGGGGTTGTATGTTGCTGTATGTAGTTTCGTTTATGTATCATCGATGGCAGTAGGCATGGGTTTTGCTAACTGGGCCAATTCAGCTGCGTTCACGTGCATGGTCATGGCAATCGTGCTCGTCCTTTGCTCAGGTAACTGTACAGTTGTAGTTACCGTAAAGTAGGAGGTGGCTGATGCAGTGACACGTCGGTAACGGTCGGCACGGCAAGCAGCTTACCTCCGAGCAGAGCTCAGTCTTGCCTGCGTTAGGGCTGACCGTGAGCAGTCCGGGTCTGAAACCCACTTTTTCCTCGGAGCTTGGGTGGTGAAGTGCCAGTCTCTTATCTATGATTGATGCCTTGAAGTACTGTGGTGTACACACAGGTTTAAAGATTGATGCAGTGTAGGGTAGATCAGAGTTTGGCATTTAAAGGAATCAATTTGTTGTAGTCCTGATGGGTATGTTTTTCTTGCACAAATGCGTACCCGAAAATATTAAAATTGGAAGTGACACAGTCTGAAACAGCTTTGGCAGAGTTTTAACACGTGCTGGTGTATCTCTGGTGTGTGTTTTAAATATTATTTACAGGGTGTGGGGTATACTGATGCTGATTGTGAGTAGCTTATGTAGGAATTGTGTAAGTAATTTAATTAAACTGTTGCTTGATTATTCCAAGTATTAGATTTTATTTGTTAGTTTGAATAAAGAGAACTTTGAGACCTTTGAAATTACGTGAGTGTACAAGCTGGGACCCCCAGAGCTTATACTGATAACGAGATTATTCCTTGCAAGGCTGTATTGCTTTTATAAAATCTCAGCACTCTTGCTTAAAAACACTTACTACTTGGGCATTTCACTTGCAGAAAACCCTTTTAAATTTGAATTAATGGTTCAGAGTAAGTACTACAGTGATGTCATTCTGAAGCTGTTTCACGGCTAAAACAAGTATTTCTTACACAGGGATCAGTTGTGTAACACCAGGCACATGGATCCATTGGGATGTAGGATGGGCGGACAGCAGGCAGGGAGCTGGTGCTTTATTTCAGGTTGCTTAAAATGAGATGGTTCCGCCCGTCCCGTCCCCCCGCCCCCCGCATCTGTTTTTTGGTAGAGATTATTATACTCGCCCAGTGATGCAATATCTCTGTTCTTTTTCACTTCAGCATGTAATTGTGCTTTAAAAAGGGTAGAAAATTCTGTTGTGCTTCAGAAATCTGTTTCTTGAGAGACGAGGCTGACCTGAGAGGCAGAGGACAGGAAGGTCAGTTAAGTTGGGTACGTTTAATGTCATCAGCGCTATGGCCTAATAAGTTCATTTTGAAATATTATTTTACTCAGTGTTTTTGTATTTGCAGGTATAAGCATTCTTAAATAAAGCCTTATAAAATGAGATCAAATTCTGTTTTCTTCAGGTCCAATTGGGATGGGTTTTTCTGCACTATAGTCTGACTAGGATTCTGTCTTAAATTATGAAGAAACAGTTGTATAGACGCATTTCCCTCTGTGAATACTTCATTATCTGGTAAAACAGTTCCGTTAAGGTAGTATTAAAGATCACTTTGTTTAACTTTAATCTTGTGTTTCCTAATTAAGAGAAGCGCTTTCTTTTGGTCAGAAAGTAGTACCAGGCCTGTGATGCTTCGGTTAAAACCGTTGGTAAATGAAAAGGCTGTATTATTATATGGAGGAATTAGGGCTGGATTTCGGTAACTTTTGATAGTCTGTAGTTGAGATTATCATTTTGTTTTGTTGCGTGACTGCATAAAAAATATCTCTGAATAGCATAATGTTGTTATGATTCAGCAAGTGTTTTTCTTGGGCATGTTTTTGGAATGTGGTAAATTCTAGCTGGTATGTAACTGAATAAAAACGACTTGTTATGTTGAGAACATAAGCCAAGTTTGAGTCCTGTGCCAAGAGCTGTGAAGCCATTCACTCCAGTACAATTTCAGGATCCTGTTCTGTTTAGGGGTTGTGCTGTCTCACTTGGCAGTTAGTGGTGGTTATGTGAAGGTTTTTTAAAGCGTAAACTGTTTCAGTTGCTTCAAACGTTTGTATCACAGATGTTCCAGTTTATTTTGACTGTTAGAATTGTTTGTCGACTGAACCAGATTATGTTAATATTTGTTTAAAAACACTGAAGGGCATTGAACTGGTTAAACTCTTTCTACACATAGATCATATAGGTATAAATCACTTTATATGTAAGAAAACTACATTTTGTAATTGCTGTGGAATTTAGCTTAAACTTACACTTTGAAATTTATGAATGTAGATGGCTGTGAGTCATGCAAACAGCAAGTACATGAGTTTTATTGGAATAAACCACCTGAAGTCTGAAAAAAATACTGTGAATTACTGTATCTACAGTTTGTGGCAAGAGCCTGCACTTAATTAGAGATGACTTTTCAAACTGTTAACTTTTTTCTGTGGTTCAACTCCCGGACTAGTTAGCTGTGTCTTGATACAGCCAAGCTGAGGATTTACCATGAGCAAGACTTGACAGTGCTGAAAAACGTTTTGTGGTGGAAGGGTGGAGGATAGCGAGGAACGGTCTGAAATGGCTGTCAGGCTGCTCTGAAGGTGAATGAGAGTGGTGAGCTGTGAGGTCCTGACCAAACCGACCTGCTTGTATCCATAGCCATAACGTTTGTGCCTGGTGACTCTTAATGTGAATATCCTTCCACACGCCAGGAATGAGTTATTAGTGGTATTTTCCAGTCCTCTTGTCTGTTTTGTCAGTTTATTCAACTCCTTGTTCAGCTGCTTTCTGTCCCAGTGTCTCTCTGCTGTCCTAAATGTTCAGGTGCTATTCTGCTAATTGCAGCTGGGAGTGGAAGTTTATAGAAACTTCTGGCTGCTATGAAATGCCAACATGTCAGGCCTTTTTACTGGGAATGTTTCATTTTCTTTAAACTAAATATAAGCTCTCATTTAAGTGTGGGGATTTTTTGTGGTCTTCTTAGGTACTTAGGTATTTTTTTCCATAGAATAACGTTAGGAAAAGACATTTCATCTTAGATTTGTTAGGCAGAGTTTCAAGCATAGGGATAACAAAATTCATAAGAGCAACTGTACCCAGATTGGTGATGTAAGATTCTTGTGTAGCTTTCTAAACCTAGGCATTTTCGGTTCTGTGCTTGTGCACTCAGCTAGTGGTACCGTCAGTCTGGCGTAACTCAGTAGTTTAGCAGAACTCTGGAAAAGTAATTCTTGGTTTTTCTGTTCGAAGGGTCGGTGTCTGTGTTGTTTTAGAAGGTAAACCAGTTTGTGTCTAGGGCTTATGTGAACAGATGCAACTTCTCATGCTGCGTGTTGCTTTAAAACTGGTCACAGGATGAGCTGCCGTTTGTGCTGTGATTGCCTCTAGTGGGAATCTGAAGGGAAATATATTGTATAGTGGTGGAACTCAAAGTACTTTGCTAAAGACTTGGGAAGGAATTAAGATGAGAGTTGGGATGCAAACAGGTGAGTTTGTCACTCCCAACACACAGGTCTTTTTGAACGCTAGTATCTTAATAGATTTTTGTCATTAATCTATTAATTGTATTGAATATAAATCCTTCTTTAACAAAGATTCTTTTCTCTTACTTTTAGTATATTTTTGGGGAGTTCAGCCCTGATGAATTTAATCAGTTCTTTGTGACTCCACGATGCTCTGTTGAGGTAAGATCTACTTTCAAATTCTTTTATAAATAAAATTTTAAAGCTACATATCTTTGTGTGTATTTGAAATATAACAATACATTTTTTTTTTATCATTCTCTTAGCTTGCTAATTTCCAAACTGAAGATACTGAACAGGAGTCTTCTTTCCATCTATGTGGGTGTTAAGTCAATTTTTAGGAATAAGAAATTAATTATTCCACCTTCTGCTTGTCCTCTTTCAGAGCTGGAAGAGCTGACATTGTAGTGGAAGGGTGTTGAAAGTGAGGTGCCCGGCCCTATTACCTCAGCTTTGCCTTTTTTTTTTTTTTTTTTTTTTAAAAAACCCCAGAGGTGGATTTAGAGAAAGCTTTGTCAGCAGTGTTCTTGTTGTAAGTAAGGTGGGCTTCCAAGTCTTGTGAGCCTTTGGAAACACAGGGATTCTTAATATTTTTTTGCCAGGTGGAGCCCTGCTAACCATCAAAGCTATGCTTTGCAAGGAAGACTGTGTGTGAGGGCTGAGAAATGAGAAAGGGATCAATAATGAACTAATTACCGTGGCAGTGAGAACCACAGAATGGCAACAGTTGTCTGTGTGTTTGAGTTCATAACATGCTGCAGATAGTATTGTACACCCTTGTTCTCTGTAGTTCTCGGTAGAGAACAAAGAAACCATATTCCTTTGTAGGGAAGAGCATTATGCCATTGTCCTAATCTTCAGACTTGAGAAATAATTTCCCTCTACTCAATTTCCATGTTTTTCCTCCAAACATTTCCATTCAAACACTTCAGTCATGTTTCCGTCCTCCCCTCTTGACATGAAGGAAATGAACAGTTCAACTGTAGATGGGGAAATCCTTTTGGCACATTTTGCAAATCTGACGACCATTGTTAATGAGACTTAGTTTCCTGTAACTTAATTTTCCAAGTATAATTAGTACAGTACACTGCTAAACCATCAAAGTGCGTGAAGGGAATGGGGTGGGGCAGGGGAAGCTTCTGCTTGCCTTGAGGGATAGCTTTGTATCTTCTCTGGTAGGTGGGAAGTAATGCAGAATAGGTCTTCAGGTAACACATGTGTCTTCTGATTTTATTGCTGTTTTCCCACCATTACATACAGTAGCAGCAGCGTGACGTTTGCATCCTGTGTAGTGTCACCTTCAGTGTCCTACATCAGCTATTCTGGAGCTTACGTTGTGGAAGATGAAAATGTCTTCTCTTCAGTAAGGCTATTCTCATAAAATGTGTTGAGGAAACCCGAACCTACGGCTTTAGAACCAGTCTTACTTCATTGTGTAACTCTCTCAAGTGTACCACTTACTGGTTAGCTATCAACATAAAAAACTGTGTTGAACAATGTTCCGTAAGTTTGTCCTTGATCTGGTTCAGTTCAATGTTTTAATTATCTGGATGATGAAATAAAAATTATGCTTATTAGTTTTACACTGTGCAGATATTTCAGAGAAGAGTGGTCTGAAAAAAATAAGGTGAAATTCAAGAAGGGCAAGACTGAGACTGTAATACTGCAGTGGCGTTTGACATACATTTTTGGTGGAGGCAGAGCCAGTTCTGGGAGTCCCAGCATCTGTTGATGCTGGTGTCCTTCTGAAGTCCCCTGTTTGTAGACTGAAGGGTGGACTGCGGCAAGGGACTAGTTGAAGCTAAAAGTTGTCTAGAATGTCTCTTTATACATGGCATTTTTAATACATGTTCTATCAGATACCTGTGAACTGAGAGGATTCATATGACCCAGTTGTACAAAGCAGGTGAACTCATGTAAGTCTCTGCTTCACAGAGGTGCTGTTGGTTAACCAGATATGTAGGGGACCAACAGGTGAACTACTTAGTTATTTATTCCTTTGTATTTTCTTAAGCCTTTTGTGCTGGAGAAAAACAAGAATTACAAGTTTTATTGTAAACTGTTGACTGTAGATTTCTAGAGTAACTTTTTTCAGTTCTAACTATAAAATGATACTGATATGTTCAATATTAGTATGGATAATAAGTTCTTAACAACTTGGCGCCTCTTTCTGACCCGTTGCTTCTCATTTTTGACCTGGAAAGTTAATGTATTAAGACGTAGTAAGGTTTATAAATGGATTTACAGTATGTGTTTTTATGCACTTTTTTATAATGGAATTTTAGGAATATTTTTCTTGCCACTTCTGATGCACTCTTGTCTACAGTGCTTTAAGAAGGCAGTATGTAAGTATCTGTAACTTTAGAGAACTGAAGGCTTCAGTGGAGAAGTCTTTGGTATTTGTTACCCCGTTATAATTAAGATTTAGAATAGCATTATAAAACTGCACTGTGCTCCAAATGTTTGCTCTCTGACCGCAGAAGCAGTTCAGCTTTTCTCCAGGCAGTTGCTGGACTGCGAGGTAGCAAGGGCTACCAGTTCAGGTAGGCAAAGGAGAAGGCTTTCGGCTGCTGGTGGAGTTTGGGGGCAGGCAAGAGGGATTAGAAATTGCCCACCTGTGGTTACACAATAGCAGAGGTTCTGTCAACCACCGAGTCCATAAAATGATGCCAGTGTTCTATACCAGACGTATTTACGATCCAGACAGAAACTACATGCTGTGGTTATGTTAGGCTCAGGCTGATGATCAAAAATTCTTGGTTTTATGAAATAGAATCAAGACTACACCTTAGCTGAAACATTTCAAGGGCAACACTGTAGCTGAACCAGGTTGAGGGTCAAAAGGTTTAGGCGTGAATATTATCTCTGCAAAACTTTGTTTCATCCTTTCACAGGTAATTGGGTCTACAGTTTTTGTCTAAAAAGAGGATATGTTTCTCATTTTAAAATCTTGGTGAGTTACTGTCGATGAAGGAAGACCCTGATGCTGTGAGGTGAATTGCTTGAGAAGTTGATGAGCCTATGCTGTGTAACCAAGATAATCTTTATCTTTCAGTAATTGTGGTAATCTGCAAGGACACTTGAAGCTACAGTGTGGGATTTGATAAATATAGAAGCCTGAGTTCAAGACATACTCTGAGAAAGTCAGACCTTAATAATGATGTTATTTTTTAAAAGGGTTCAGACGCTTCAAATGAAATTGATATCAAATGTTAATAGAGTTGCTTTGTCTTTAAATAAGTTTTATTTCTTTTTTGTACAGCTCCCCCCATACAATGAAACAGTTTCATGTGGTATTAAGTCCACAGGTGAGTTTTGTGATGGTAAGAAATCAACATCTGTTTTTTTTTTTTTTAAACTTAAAGGTTGTGATGCTTTCTGTAGATTTACTACAGCCTCTCTTAAAACACAGTCTTTACAACTTGTTCAGCACATGTATTTGGCACGTTGATTTTTTCAACAGCTGCTTTGAATGAGATCCTTGAGAGTATTTGAAAATACTTCATTGAACTAATTAAGGTGGACGTGCTTACTCCTCCTTGATTGTGCTACCACATCATCTTCATGTGTTGCGGAGATGTTGCAGGATGGAGCTGTAAAAATGGGGGGGGGAAGGACACGGGACGGACACTGAAGTTTGCTGGAGAGCTTATACTGGAGAAACAAGGAACTGGTGTGGCTTTCAGCTGGCCCTCCTGTAAGAATCACAGCATGAGGTTTTTTTTTCTGGCAGTTGCAACCTGAAGACAGCTCTGCAAGCACTGCTCTGTTCAGTGTTCCCTTTGACTCTTGTTCCTGTCTGCCTCAGCTATTTTTCTGGAAAATACTCCCCCCCCACCTTCTTTTGGTGAAAATATGACACTCGATGTGAAAAAGCATTACAGAGTTCCTGTTTTAAAGCTGTAACAGTCACATGTCGACTCTGTCTCAACCCATGCACCTTACAGCCTGCCCTTACTTCATAGTTCTATGAAGTTGACACTTAAGTAGGGATTGCCATTTGATCATCACTCCGTATAGTTTAAAGCAACCTTTTACAGTATTTTAAGCGGCAGGTAAATTAGTGTTTGGGCCTTTTCCCCGAACCAGGGGAGAGCAAGGAAGCTGAGACTTACCCAGATGCGTATGAGAATGTTACAAATGACATCCAGATCTCCTTCAAAATAATGCAAGTGTCTGACTGGACATTTCTCAAAGTACTTAAGAGGACCAAAATACACATATTAATGTTTAAGAACAACTGATCATTGTGCTTAGCAACTTTGGCCTTGCATTTAGAGGTAAATAAGATGGCCAGTCGTAAAGAAGGACAGCAGGTCCCATTTGAAAGCAGATATGCAACTTTTCTGAAAATTCAGGAGCTTTATTTAGTACAAGATTAGTTTTAGAACCCTGAGTAGTTTTAAGTAGGAGTTTGAAAAGTTCGTGAAAAGGACCGTATGGTGTGAATTGTCTGCTGTGGATGACAGGGGTGTCCAGTCATGTATTGCTTTGTCTAACTATGAATTTAAGTTCTCTTCTTTAAGGCTGAGATTTTAATTTTCACAAGCCATACAGAAAGTTGGTTTGTACAAATGTTTTTCAGATCATTCCTAGACCCTGAGAGAACCCCTCCCAGCCCTGAGATTAGGTAATGACAGCAAATTAGGTTTTGCCTGAAAAATGTCTTTAACAAGCTTGCACTGTACTGTGCATGCGTATTATCACTGTGATGGCTACATAAGAAGCTGTGGAAACTAAAATGGAATGCTGTGCTTATGCAGAATATTTATAATTATAATAAGATGGCATACACTGACCATATTGTCACTCCTCGTGGTCTAATTTTTTGTATACTTATCTTCAGTATTTAACTTCATTACGGAATTAGAAGAGCTGTTAATAGGAATAATCAGATCATGGCTGAAGCTCTAATATGCAGAACTGTTCAGAGTAATTACTACTGTGTATTCACAGCTTTTGCTATTGTACATAGACTTTGTCCTTGGAACATCTGTTGATACTTGTTTCAATATGCATGTCATATTCTTCTTGACAGATAAGTCTGTTTCAGTCCATTCAGAAATAGCGCTGTGATCTAGATTGCAATGAAGATGCCTGGAAGCAAAGTGCAAAGTCATAACAAATAGAAAAAATTACCTCTCTTTTTTTTTTTCCCAAACAAACTTGACACAATCTTACGGCAAACGAGCTTCTGCCAGTCATTCCAGAGACTGACTATGCGGTAGCTACTAGTATTTATTATTCTAATCCTGCTGTGAGGTGTAAAGTTTAATTCCTCAGCTGTAACTTCGCAATTTGTGTGGTAAATGCTGGAGTATCAGTTAGGTTCTCAGCAGGATTTTAGCCTGTGAGGTTCATGTCGCACCTTCAGCTAAATTACCGTTGTGCCATAACTGTAAGGGATGTGTTTTGTTTTCTGTTCCGCACTTGCCCTGAGTTGGCTCTTGTGATTGTCTAGTGTACAGCAGTTTGCCAAAACCAGAAAAAAAAAAATCCTTGCTTGGATCTGTATTTTTTTGCTAGCTTCGCTTTTGGTAACACTAGTGCTGGAAGCTTGCTGCAGAGTAGAGGAGTAGGAGAGGAGTGCAGAAGTGAGAACTCTCACTTTTGGCTGCGGTAGGCTTAACTCACCTATGAAGGGAAACCACGTTCTTTGTTTTGAAGCAATTGCTATCTTTAACTGGGATTTTGGAAAAGAAGTAGAAGTCCCACATTATTTTGAAATGACACAGATTTCAAATGTGCCCAAGAATTCATTGTTACTGTGGTTGGAGGAATATTGGGTGTTACCAGTTGTTGCTTGTGCTTTTCACTGTTGTAAAGGACTAGCTTTTGGTTCGTGCTTGAACTAACAAGTTGCTCCCTAAGCAGATGAACTAACAAGGATGAGTTTTGTTATGGATTTGTCCTGTATCCCTTAAAACCCCGTGCCCTGCATTTGCGAGCAAACAAAGCTGTGGCTGGTTTCGAGCTGTGTGTGTCCCGACAGCCAGCGTGTAGCGCTGGCAGCCAGTCCGTGGTGCTGCTGAACAGTTAGGTGATGCCTGAGATCTCCCAGCGCTTCCCTCTTAAACGGGTGTCAGGCAGCAGCTTTCCACCTCCCTGCCTCTAGATTCCTGTTAAAAAAATCAGCAAACTTAAGCCCTCTTTTCTGCTTGGTCCTAGCTAGTCAGTGATTGCAGAAGTAGTTGGTGAATGGTGGATTGACAGGCATGGTGTTATCAAACGCTTTCCCATGGGTGTAGGGGAGAGGTGAAGAACATTTGAAATTCCGGCTCTTGTTAACACGATTTAGAGAAATCAGATGTGTGTGGAGAGTTTCTCTCTCTCTTTTTTTTTTTTTTTTTAAGGTTTCCTTTAGGATGGCTGGCAGTAAGATTGAAATTGATAGGCGAAATGTGTTTACTTCTCAGGTTAATAGATCAAAGCAGAAAAGCAATTAACGTCTCTATTATATATATCTTTTTCATTAATTCGTAATATGTTGGTATTGCATGTGTAAGTCAGACCTCAACACACATTGAATGTTTTTTACTCGTTTGATATTAAAAAACATGTACCCTGTAGATTCTTGTTTCTTTCACATTTTTTTTAAAGCTAAAATTTTTAAAGACAAACAAAAAACTCAAAAAAACCCCACACCTCATTTTTAGTGAGTGTCTGTGGTGTTCTTGAAAGTGTGTGTTTGTTGACATGTCGAATGTAATGTAAGTTGCACAAAATCTTTAAAGTTTAGTGGTGTGTCCACTTGTATCCTTTTGGGAATAGTAGCAGGTGTTTGGTTCTCTAGTAAGTTGTAAAAATTTGAAATGTGTGGGGTTTTTTTGCCCTCCATCATTGAGGAAACGGAAAGTATTAAAATTAATGTCTTTGAACCAGTAACATACGTAGAATAGAATGACCTACAAAACTTTTAAGTACTAAAACGTGAGCTTACCTTTAACATTCCTGAGACTGATTCATTAATTTTATCTCTTTATTTGATAGTTGTGGAAATAGTTGTAACTGACGTATTCAGTATTACTAGTTAGCACGCATGCGTTATAAAACTTAAGTTTCATGAAGTTGCAGTACTTTGTGACTGACAATATTTTATGATACTGCAGCCTGCCATGAGAATATTTCTTAAAGTTTCTTTAAAGAGCATGTCAAAGTTCCAAGGCACATAAATACACTTAAAAAAAACCCAAACCAACACCCACAACCCAAAGCCAAATCGTAAATTTCTCAGTACTGTTTGTTTGTACAAGTCGGACACTGATTATGTTGTGGCATATCTTGTCGTAAAACCACAGTCATGTATATCATATTCTCCCATACTAATAAATTCAACTGTGATAAAGTTAAATAAGCTATTGCTGAGCCTAGATTCAAAAGCTGTAATTGCAGTGTTTCCATACAAATATTTTTCAATTATTAAGGATTATGTTAAATTTTTTCACACCAGAAAAATCAACCCTCCCAAAAATCAAACTCCACATGTAGAGATTATCTGAAAAAGTTAAACAGATAAAGGCTTGGATTTTCTAATTGTCAGTGGAAAAGACTGGCTTTAGAAGAAATGTGGAGTTAAAATATTGCACCATATTTTATACACAGTTATCCAGTAATTAACTTAATGCAGAATATTGCTAAAGTCATTGGGCTTTAATAGTTTTTCTTAGTAGGTGAATTTAATAGGTGTTTTTTGCAGGAACTGTGCAGTGATTTGGAAAATTACATACTCTGTTTAAGAAAACCTGAATCACACTCTGTTATCTTTAAGAAAATGATGGTTTGAAATAGTCTTCAGGATTGAGATAGAGAAAAAGAATTTTCCGTTGAGGGAATGTGGTTTGTTTTCTGAGTTGCAGGAAAAGATGGGGTTTTTTTCCTTGATCTTGTAGCCTTTTAGTTAGATGTCGTTCACTAACTCAGGTTTGCTTTCTCTTGTCCAGGGGAAGAGTATCAGAGAATTGAGTTTGGTGTTAATGAAGTTATCGAGACGCAGACGTCTGTACTAAATAACACCGACTACAGTATTTCAAGTACTCTGAATCCTCAGGCTCCAGAATTCATTCTCAGTTGTGCACCCGCTCAGAAAACCCCTGATGATACTCTCAGTGAAACAAACTACAACTCCATTGACTGCCAGTTCAGTGATCCAACCCTCGCTTTGGACAGCGGTTCTAACGCTGAAAACGATGGCTTGGCTGGAGGCCTTGGACAAAGGGAGCGCAAAAAGAAGAAAAAAAGACCCCCTGGATACTACAGTTACTTGGAAGATGTCAGTGATGGCATCGCTCCCCCAGAAGCTCTTGTAAATGGCCACGCAAATTCCTCGGGACTAAACAGTATAAGCACGGAGGATACGGAACTGACAGGAGACATGCCCTCCCTGGCCACACCAAGGACTTGCAACAGCCCGGACAACTCTGTGGACTTCATTAATGAAGCTGTCTCTGATGATTCTGTTTCTAGCGCACTAGACAATGCCAGGACTGCAGGGCAGCCTGAGGTATGCCGTGTTACTAATTCTGAACAGTTTTGCATCCCCTCAGAGACCGGCAGAGATAGCCCTTTAAGGACAGCTGTTGTACAGTCTTATGCTGGTACTGATACTACTGAAAATCTGGGCGTTACTAATGGACAAACACTTGAATCCTCTGGTGAGGACACAGCTGCCAATGGGGTAGAATCGCACACTGTGGAAAGCACTGACTCAGACCAAGCTAAGCCTGAGGAAGCTTCACCTACTACTGAGGCAACAGTCCCGGTTGCAGGATCAGTCCCTGTTAATCAGCCTGCAAAATCGTGGGCTAGTCTTTTTCACAATTCCAAGCCCTCTGCTTCCACATCTGTGGTCTATGTTGAGACTAAGTATACCCCTCCTGCCACATCTACTCTGGTCCCTGAAAAACAGGTTGAAGTCAAAGAGGGACCTGTTCCAGTTTCAGAGGATCCTGTAGCCATAAAGATTGCAGGTATAGTTAATGCACACGAGTGGATGTTACACTGGAAGGGTATTAACTCCGCTTGTAAACAGGAACATGCAGTATCGATAGAGAAGATTCCTATGTTAATGTTCTTAATAAGATGACTGTTCCCACACTGCTGTGGCAGATGTAATTTAAATAAGCTAGTTTTGTATCCCCCTGAGTAGACATTCCAACGAGATGTTACCGTGTCATTACCCCAGATGTGGTAAAACTATTGCTACGTGTCAAACTGTATGTTTGTGACCTGTGATTTTTAAATAGGCTGGCTGCATTCTGCTGTGTGCTATTGTAATAAGGAGACTACATTAGAAAAGTTTGTTCTGGAAATGGTGATTATATTATCCAGTATTTACAACCTTGTAATCCGTTCCCATTACAAGAAGGGAAGAGTGTTAATGTATTTATGCTGAAGTAGCTGAAACTCCTGGACACTCAAGAGTAGCTTCAGTGTAGTATCTAAATAGGTCTTGATTCAGAAATTGTAATTCAGGAAATAGTTTTTATAGTTATTGCTTTGCTGTTTGAGAGCCCTGTCTTTCACGTTTTGAAGAATTACCCTTAACCATTATAAACAATATTAAACAACGTTAGCTATTGCCTATTCAAGAATAACCATAAGAAACTGTCCAGAGGGCACATCAGGAAAGGCAGTGTGTGATAACAGAGGCTCTGACCGTTGGTCCTGTCGTATTCATGGCTCTAATGAGAAATGCTAGAATGTGCATGAGGTCATTTTTGCAGATTCAGTCAGAAAACATGAAGAAAAATATCCAGCTAATTGCATTTTGTCACTCAGTCGTGAGTCTTGGAACAAAAATAATGATTTTAAATTTGTGAAATACTCTGTATGTGAAAAGGCTTGTGCAAAATCCTGCTATTTGTGCTGCAAGCCAGTTGGCAAGTACAATGGCGCTTCGTGTGTGACAGCTTCAAGTCAAAGTTTTCTACTCCAACCAGAAGCTGACCTGGAGATTTCTATTCAGAATACCCAGAAGTATGTCTGCATCTCGTCCCCTCCTTACTCAGTAATCCTTTCATTACTTAAAATTGGAGCTGAGGGGAAGCTGTCAGAATAATTTATATTTCTGTGTATTTTTCACTTAGGGGTCATAAATGCAGTTGACTGTATTAAAAAAATGTGTGATTATGGTTTATATGAACCCATACGTGTGGAGTATGTTGTACTCTTAAAATCTTAAGCTATCACTTGGTAATGAATTTTATCTTAAAGCTGTTTTGTGACAACTGTGAAGCTAGAACTGCTTGCCATAGGTGAAAAAGCTTTTTTTGTGTCTTGTCCAAGTTGCTTCAGCTTTAAGTTAACTTTCTAGACTTTTGCTGGTTCTGTACTATTTTTTGCCACCAGGTGGGAGCAGAGCTTTTTGGTTTGTCTTTCATGTATTAAAATATCGATGTAATTTTTATACAGTTTTCTTCTGCACCTTCACCATTATCTTCACTGTCCTTGCAGAGGAATAATCTGAGTACAGATCCTTTTCAGTGAAAAGGAATTTGTCTTCTCGTTGTAGCTGGTTTAGGTGGGAGTTACATTTCCTGTAATTCAGATGGTACTGATTTCTGTATAAAACATTTACTTGAACATCTAAATGCCATGTAATCAGTGCTTTGCTCTGTGGAAAAAGGTGACTTTCTTCATTTGTCTGTTCTTTTTTTAATGTTCTCTGTCCTGTTTGGAAAATAGGTACATTAGTGCTTTGTTCATACACCCACACTCAAAAATGTGTGACATGAGTTTCAGTTTGTGATTTCCAGACACATCGTTTGCTTTGTTCTGTACATACTCAGTTTCAAATCTTCCGCCTGGGTTAAGATCATTGTATAAGGGTGTATAGCAATCCTGTATGGTTTTCAGAGGTAGCTGCTGATTGTGTTCCTTGTTTTCTGAGTTGAGATCCTGGTGTTGGATTTGCTGGGAATTCACCAGTTTCTGCTCACGCCAATGGGAATGAATTTTTGACCACAAGTGCCGTAGGTTGCTAAACACAGATAAAACCTAGTCTTAGAGTATCTTGAGTTTAGCAGTCACAATTTGCGAATCTTCTGACTTAACGCTGGAGCTCTGAGGTCCTTCTGTATGGTTTTTATTTAGGACAGGCGCTCAGGACACAAGAGGATAGGTTACTTGGATAGGTTACTTTTCCAAGGACAAAATCCAGTTATTACAAGGGAGGTTAATGATTCGCAAGCACCTTGAAAATAGTTTAATGCTACTTCAGTCAACCTGCAAGGTCTGTGGTTTCATAGTCCTCAAATTTAAATAAAAGCTACACAAGATAAGGAGATGAAGTCCAGGATTAGAAAATAAACAAAACAGCCAAACAAATTTCATCTTAATCTTGATGAGAAAAAAAATACTGAAGAGTTAATTAGAATTACAGGATCGTTTAGGTTAGAAAAGACCTTTAAGATCATGAGTCCAGCAGTTAACCATGTCCCTAAGCACCACATATGCATGTCTAAGAAGTACCTCCAGGAGCTGTGACTTAACTACTTCCCTGGGCAACCTGTTCCAGATGAAGAAATTTTTCCTAATGCCCAATCTAAA